TTTTTTTTTAAATTTAAAGTTATATTCCTATATATAGTTTGAATTTGGAAATTCATAAACTCCTTTTACTTCTTAAATTTTTTGTATTAGCTCTTGAAATCTTTGTCCGTTTGATTCTATTTAAGCAGTTGTATTGGGTTGTTTGATGGTTTTCCCCTATCAAATATTTGGTGGTTTTTCTGTAATTGGTCTTTTGATTATTTCAACAACGATAGTTAAAGTTGGACATAAGTGAGCTACCTAAACCAAGTATCTTCATGTAATGTGCTGTCACCCTTAAAAAGGTGATATTTCAACCATTCGGTGGATTTTTGTTTTGACGGATTTTCTAACAAAACAGGTGTTAAGGTACGCGATTTGCGCGTGAATCTATTTCGACGAATTCAAAATTTAATTAAATATTAACATAAAATAATATGTATTTGTCATGCAATCAACGTCTCATTTCGATAATATTTCTACAATTTAATGACGTGCTAAAGATTACAATAACCATAAATATTAGATTATATGAATGTGCATTTATATTTTTGTATGTAAATTTTAGCTAGTCATTTATACTAGTATTAGTACCCGCGCGGATGCGCGAACACTATCATGTCAAATATTTAAGTTATTTGGATTGTATGTAAATAATTTTAAAATTTATACTTTCTCAGTAAATATAGATAATCATTGGATATTAACTACATGAAAAAAATTAACAATTTCTTCTATTTTTCTTTTTTGATACCATTCTTGCCGGTGTCATTGGATCCTAAAAATAGTCATGAAGCAAAATAATTACTCATATTTATGGCAAGACAATCAAATGTTGAGACAATTAATGACTCTTTGGATAAGACTTAACTCTTTTACCGCTACTTGAACTCTTATTTGGTGTGTTGATATATCTTAAAAAACATTTCTTTCTTAAAATTTCAGTTTCTAAAACATTATTTTTCAATAATAATCATTTTTATAGTAATGTAATTGAAAATATTATTCTTAATTCAAAACTCATTTTAGTTTGCTTTCTAAAAATATAAAAAATTCTTTAGCTAGGGAATTTTTTTACTCCATTTTGATATTTGACATTAACCATGTTACATATCTGAGTTATTTGAATTATATGTAAATAACCTTAACATTTATACCTTCAAAATAATTATAGATAATCGTCAGATATTAGTTAAGAAACACTACATGAAAAAAGAGTAACATTTTCTCAATTCGTAGTGATAATTTTATTTTTGCACTATTCTCCTAGGTGTCATTGGAACCTAAAAATAGCCACAAATTAAAATAATAACTCATATTTATGGTAAAACACAAAGGCTNATATATATATGAGTTTTTAATAAATTAAGTTGCTATGTGTATTTTTAATAGGTTGCCACTTGGCTAAATGATAAGACAAATTTATTCGAACTCACAAGAACTCCCCAACTTGCTCTTGGGATGATTCGAACTCACAATCTCTTGGTTAAAGTGGAGGTTGCTTACCATTAGAGCAACCCCTCTTGTCAAATTGTGTTCCTAAATAAGTACTAAATATTAGTGATGAGAAAGGAAGTTTTTAAACGCTATTGTTGAGAAATCCTTGTTTAATTATAGTAAGGATTAATATTTCCTACCTAGTTGAAATAAGGAAGGACTTATATAAGTAAAATCTATATAAAGAAAAGATTAAATTCCTAAATATTAGGGATTTCTATATAAATGACTATTACTAAGTATTTAGGAAAATCATAAAATGACTATTTTTTCTAATATGAACTCAATTTTAAAAAATAAAAAAAATAACGACATTTCAAGAATCTTCTTGCTTTTTTTTTTTTTTTTCATTTTTACCCTACGAAAGTAATTGGTCTCCTAATTGTTGTCTTATTGTTTTTCCTTTTTTACCTACGAATTTTTTGACTTTACAATCTTCGTAGATTATTAGGGATACTAATTAAGGAAGAAGGTTCCTACTTCTACTCTTCTTAATTATTATTTCCTTTTATTCTACGGCTATATCTTCTTCTTTTTTTAAAGAAATTTATTTGTATTTATAATTTTATTCATTATAAATTATACTTATCTATTATTTATTACTATATTAAAAGCACGAAGGTATTTAGCGAAATATAATTCGTCTTTTTTACCTTTTAAAATATAGAGTTCACATTAGATAAAATAGTAATTTGAGTATTTCATTAATATTTAGAAATAATTATTTAATTAATTCTCCTATTATTAACAGTCCAGGAAAGTGAATAAAATTTCGCCTAAATTTTTTCTTATTCGTTCTACTCCCTATGTACATTGGAGTAGTTAAAAGCTTTAATGTTTTGGAGACCTTTTTTGTAGTTAAAAAAATTTTGCCTAGCCTAAATTTTCGCTCCTATGTTGGAGTATTAAATTTGTTTATTTTGTAGTTAACACTACAAGAAAAACGGCCTTTAAGGAAGAGAAATCTGATCCTAATAGAGCAATTACGATGGGAAAAAGTCGGTCGCCACCCGTCGTAATAGCCTCCGACGCCAAAAGTCAATAACGACGGGTTTAGAAACCCGGTCATTAATTGTTGTTTGCGACGGACAAAATATCTGGTCGCTAAATACATTTAGAGACAACATATCTCGTCCCGGTAGACGATTAATATAATATGAAAAATATATATTTTCCCGTCGTTAAAAAGTATTAGCGACCAGCCTTCTCCTCCCTAATAGATAATAAAGATATTATGAAAAATATATATTTGTCCGTCGTTAAATGTTTTAGCGACCAACATTCTCCTTCATAATAGACAATAAATATATTATGGAAAATATATATTTTTCGGTCGTTAACCAGTTTTGGAGACCAACCTTTAACTGGTCGTAGATTGTCTTTTAGAGACGAACAACATTGGTCCCTATTTAAAATAATTATAGTAACTTTAACGACCGTATTTCTGGTCTTTTATTACCCACAATCAGTCCTAAAGCTTGACGTCACAAAAAAGTTATTCTTATCAATAAATGTCAAATTGCTATATAAAAAGCTATTAATTACAGAGTTAACATCCCATGATGTTATATAGTTTCAATATTTGCTCAACACCTTAACAAAAAAACTTAGCTAACATCCTAAGCTAGATTATGATATCATGTTTTACATAACATTCCTAGCAAAATAATAATAAGGTTGTGTTCCTTCTAAACTTTCATCTTGACTTGTAGCTTCAATCTTCAAAACCTGTAAGTAAAAATTTTGAAAAGACGATGAATAACTATTGATGAAATAATATATGTAAATTTACACTAGCAATGGTTAAATTGCTTACCCCAAAAGCAGTGTAAATTCATCAGGTGTTATCCAACAACAACATCAAAAGTGCTACAAGAATATAAGGAAATTAATTAGAAAAGTTTTGGAACAGTAAATCAAACTTCGATTCGATAAAAGAATCGAATCGGGGATTTGTACAATGTTAGTAAGTCCCTTTTCTCCTAGACTTACTATTCTTAAAACCTGTAGACTTCATTTCAGTATGTTTGATTTATCAATTTTTCAAACAAGAAAAATTAAATCTTTCTTTACAAAATAAGTAATTTAGACGTCAATTATTAATGATTTGAAACCAAAAATTAGCTTTCAAAGGTGCCTGTTCGAAAGTGAAAATTAATTTTTGAGGACACAAGATTCACCAGGGTAAGACACAAAAGAACATTATTAGAACTTTCTCAACATGCAGTTTCATGTTGTAAAAACGCATATTATCTTGTATACTTTTTTTTCCTTTTAATGATAAGCTAGTCTTACATCCTATTTGACATCCTAAAGTATACATTCTCAGGTATCTGCATAAGGTCTTATACATTTTGAAACATATTCTATCCCTATGTCTCTCTGATGTACTATGAAGCAAAATCAGTTAGTTTTCGTGCATCAGAAATAGGATAACGAACAAACTGTCGATGCTGATTAAAAACCATTGGTAGACAACAATTCAGATTTGAGAATGAAACGGAACTGTATCTGAATATGACAAAGAAAATGACAATGCTAATCGAACACCAACGACAGACAACAATCAAGATTGGCGAACGAGAGTAAGTGAATCAGAAACCCATGCATTATCCTCAAAAAATTCAACACTGATCTTATTTTCAATACACGTGATTAATAATGTGGTTATGAGCATCCACATATTTGTCAGATATTATTACCTGGACTTACTATTGTTAAAACCTGTAGCCTAATTCCTTATCATATATTTCTCCTTTATTAGTCAATAACTTGATTATAGTTTCCACAACTGCTTGTAATTGATTATAGCCTAATGCATTTGATGAACTTAACAGCAGTTAAGGTTGAGGCCTCAATAATGTCGGGACGAGTAACCCTCAATGCTCAGATTTTCTACTTCCAACTTCGTGAACCCAAACTGTTATTCCCATCATTGAGGCTCATTCATTTATAATATTGCAACAAATATAGCAATAAGATAGAAATGGCTATATAAATATCAACAAAAAGAATTAAAAAGCAGGGCATACTGTTACTAACTTGATCAGCCGAAAAAAGTCATCATTCAGCTTAGCGATGTCGTAGGCGAGACATGTGATTGTTGAGCAGCGAAAAATTTCCTTATTTTCTTCATTTCTTTCATCTCAAGATATGATCACGATGATCATTCATGTCAACACTCTCAAATTTATCCTACAATAATCAAAATATCCATTTAGTTAATGCACTGTTCAAGAAGCAGTTCATTGTGCAAGTTTAAGAAGAAGTTCATTCATAGTCTCAAAATTTATTTTAGTATCATCACCAAATCGGTAAACTGACATAGGAGTTTCATCTCGAAAGGACTAACATAGTTATCCAAAGAGCACACCGTTCCCTGGTGCATGCGCCCACATTTGGCATCTCTGTCCCTATCACTAACTGGAGCATAACTTCACACGCCACATGTACGGAGGTCATTGTGCCTACATTTGGCATCTCTGTCCCTATCACAAACTGGAGCGTAACTTCACACGCCACATGTACAGAGGTCATTGTGTATGTCACGTCAACAATATGTCCGCATTCTCTGTCCACATCACTAGAACATGAATTTGGATTGACCCCTAGCATGTTGACTTGCTTCTTCTCCTATCAAAATTCTATATTGCCTCCATATGGTTGTATACATTGACAACAGTGTCATTACTAGCATAAACAGAAATAATTTGAAAAAACAAATAAACCAACTTTGTTTTATATTGCCTTGAAACAGAGTTGCATTTCTATTTCCACAAGGTTTGCAACACCTCACTGATCAAGCTAAATCACAAAAAGAGCATCACGAAAGAGGCATGCTGGACCATATCCAATATTGCTAGGGACAAAAAGAGCATGTCGCAATTGTACCCCAATAGCTACCCACATGTGATTCAACTTTTCTTGCTTAATATCATTTCATGATGATACTCCCAGCGGACACATATTGCGGTCACAAACTATTCTACCCAAGTGCCTCGAAAATAGTTTGTTATTTGTTCCAATCGTTCGATTGTTGTAAAAGGTTACTTTCAGCTTTTGTCCGACTTCAAGTGATGCAACTTCTTTGCGCTTGTTCCTACCTCAAACTCTTTTTACCTTTTCAGGATTAGATGAACCTATAGTTGGATAATTTGGTAAAACTATAGCAACAAAATTTAGTTTTACAAATTAATAACACATGGATTCAAAATGTCATACCTGTTTCAACTGTTTGAGAGTTTTTCATAGCTTGATCACTAGATGGAGACAATAAAATATTGGTCCGCATATGCTCTTTCTTAAGAACCAATGAGTTTTTATCCATTGTTCGCATTTCTTAATTAGAAGACATGGTAAAATTCGATCTTGTGCTTTTAGGAGTTTGCATACGTTGATTAGCATAAACTGCATTCTTATGGAAAGATCCCACCTCATTTTCAGAAATCCCTAAAGAGGGGCACAAAGATCTAGGCGTTTGCTCCCGTTCCTTCCTTATAGCACCTGGACCCAAGAAATCATATTAGTAAAAAATATGGCATTTAATTATATATGCAATTAATTAACTGATAGCTCAATGATATCAACTACAGTATAAATTAGCAACATTCAAAAATCTGCAACTCCAACAAGATAATAGGAATCAAACAAGCCATGATCCAACATACCCAAAATTTATGTGAATCAAAAGGTTGCTTAAGACGAATAAAGGGGAAATTTCTTTGCAGAAATTCTAAGAAAGCAATAACTTACTGTCAAAATTTCACTTAAATAGTGTTGGTCAAGGTTAAAGGTTGAAGAAACAGAAAGGCATAATATTCTGAAATAGTACCAATCCAAACACACTTAGATTATAGAGCAAATGATCAACCAAACCACTACAATAGGAATCAAACAGCTGAAATTTGAATCAAACAGCTGAAAGCTTAAACAAACATGGAAGAAGGAAGTAAACATAGGAGATGAGAATGAAAGAAATTTCTATAACTTCTTGCCTACTTTTTCCTTCCAGTATCTAGTTACTTATACTAACTCCCAACACCTTCCTTGCCCTTTATGTGACTTGCCAGAGTAAGAACAAAATCAGTTAGCTTCTTTGGCACAGTCCTCACATGCGTGCTCCTTCTTGACGCCACTTTCTGGACATCTAGGTTGACATCTTTCTTGTCCAACTCACTCTCCAGCTCAGTAGGCTCTGGGTGCACAACATTATCCATATAACAATAGGTGCCTAACCCAACATAAAACTAAAATTCTTATGTGTCTATTTTTTTCCAATTTGTAACTGTACGAATTGCTACATATACCCCAAACCTTTCTCCTCCCTCCATTCATTGATAGCCATTCACCATAATAACTACTATTAACTAGAATTACCAGTCAAATTTAAATTCTCTAATAATTGACAAAATAACCATTTATTAGCCACAAATTCTGCAATTACAACTTAAATAGAGTACGCTGCTTTACCAAATACCTACGACAACTAGTTTACATCTTGATTCTAGTAGCCAATTTGCAATCTAGAAGTTTTAACTACAATACAAACCACATAAAATAATATACCAAAAAAGTACTTTCTACAAAATAATTACCAAACCATTTCAGACTGTGGAGAACAGAGATTGCAAAACTCCAAACATTTGACCAAAATATTGAATGACAAGTTGAAAATGAACTGTTTTCTCATTTTTTATTTCAGATTTGAAAAAAACTTACTTGTTTCAACACAGAAGAGGAGGCATACTTGGGATTCGCAATTGAGGGAGGTCGAAAACTGGGTAGACCTGCGATACACAAGCCAACAAACTCGCAACAAACTCGATTTGAGAAAACAAAATTCTTGAGTCGTGAATAGAGAGGCAGACGAGTTCTGTGTATGTTTAAGACACTAGGGCATAACTTTTTGTTTTTGGAAAACAGAGAATTTCTTTTAATTTTTTGGAATTTTTAATTTTAAGATATTAGTTTTCGCGCCTATTTTTTAGAAAATAATATTTTTTAATATTTTATTATTATATTGGGCGATACTCTCTCCCGCTCATCGCCCCTGCGCCTACTAATATCTTTTGGGACAGATTACTAATTTCTTTAGGGACCAGATTGAATACCTTCGCAATAGAATACAAAATTAAGGACCACAATATAATCTCGTCCTAATACATATACTTTTAGAGACGGGATTATTAACTTGTCCTTAAATGTTGGTCGCAAATAACACTTTTTCTTGTAGTGTCATATCTTTTAGGTTTAGGAGATCTTTTTGGTTAAATTTTTTGCTTAAATCGCACACACAATTTTCTTTTTAGTTAGGAGTTTGTATTATTTGATAAAATTCATAGTACACGCATTGCGTGTGTATCTAATCTCAATATGTAAGTATACTGACTAAAAGTTATATTCGAATATAAAATAAAAATTTTAAATTTTTGAAATTGATGAATATTCAAATTCTATATATTCAACTTTTCAGTTTTAGCAAGAATACATAACTTTTGAAGCACAAAGCCTAGAGCGAAACATTAATAAACCTTTTTACCCTTAAAAATAAATTTCAAATAGGATAACATTGACATTTAATTATTTTTCCTAATAATTATAATTTTGAAATATGTTATAATATTATGAGAAAATTATCAACTTAATTGTCCATTTTTATTGATTACTACATAACGAATCATAATATACATGGTTATTAAAACAAAACCAATATTCATAAGATATACTAATTTCAAATTACTAATAAATTTTTTTGTATACATTAATTGTGATGACTCGGCCAGTCGTCTCATGAGTTACTCAGTTTTCCCCATTTCTGCTTCTTATTGATTTGTATAATGGTTCTATATGTGACGTGTTGATTGGTTAGGGTTCGGAAAGGAATTGGTAAGATTTGAGACACTTAGTCTCTTTTGAGGAAGGTTAAGTTGGAAAAGTCAACCAGATGTTGACTTATGTGTTAGAGGGCTCGGATGTGAGTTTTGATGGTTCGGTTAGCTTCAAGAGGTGATTTGGGACTTAGGAGCGTGATCGGAATGAGTTCTGGAGGTCCGGAATAGATTTAGGCTTGGATTGGCGAAAATGGATTTTTGGCGATTTCCGGTTGGTATGTGAGATTTTGATATAGGGGTCGGAATGGAATTTCGAGAGTTGCAGTAGTTCCATTATGTCATTTTGGGATGTGTGTGCAAAATTTCAGGTCATTCGTACGTGGTTTGATTGGGTTTTTGATCAAAAGCGGAATTCGAAAGATTTTGGAAAGTTAGGCTCGAATCCGATGTGTTTTAGTTGATTTGATGTTGTTTGAGGTGTTTTAAAGATTGGTACAAGTTTGAATAAGATTTTGGGATATGTTAGTGCCTTCGATTGAGGTCTTGGGGGCCTCGGGTGAGTTTCAGGTGGTCAATCGGGCCATTCCATGAAGTTTGGAGCTGCAGAAAATTGCAGGTCATTGTTGCAGAAAAATGACCTTCGCATTCGCGAGAGGGTCCTCGCTTTCAGAAAGGTTCAGTTGAGGAATCTGGAAATTTAGCCTTCCCGTTCGCGAGGAAGGCTCCGCGTTCGCGAAGGGCTGGACATCTGTGCATCGCGTTCGCGGGGGTGTTGTCGCGTTCTCGGAGAATAAATGGGTAGTTGAGCTTCAGGCAAATTTAATTCATTGCACTCGCGATAGGGGAACGCAATCACGAAGGTCTGTTTGAGTAAAGCATCACGTTCACGATGGGGTGATCGCGATCGCGAAAGAAGAATTTTTGTCAAGGTATTTTTGTGCTTCGCGAATGCGAGGCTTTGACCGCGTTCGCGAAGAAGGATTTCAGGTATGGGCAGAAGGTTTAAATAGTCATCTTGTCTATGAATTTGAGATTTATTTCTTCCATTGTTGGTCGTTT